CAGAAAATTATACCTTTGGAGCAACAAATTGGATACATGCATATCTGAGTAATTGTCCTTGTAGTGGCAGTTCATTGCTTATTTTAAATTATCTTAAAGATTTACAAGAGGAATTATAGAAGAAATATTTATTTTTATATGACGTAAAAAGATGAAAGTTAATAATATATTCAGTTTGTTATGTAACACGATAGCATTTTTCCTGGTAGACGTTCTCCTTTATTCATATGTAACTGCCTTGAAATTTGTACCTTAAGGACAAAGAAAGGTCACTCGTCCCCCTAACTCCTGGTTCTTTGTCAAAAATGGACACTGCTAATGAGGTTTGTTTGGTACAGAACAAATTCTCAGACACAGATAGAGATCCTTTCAATGGAAACAAATTTGTTTGGCTTTACCAGGTTACTTAGCGATTAATAATAGCCTTGAGATGCAGGTGAAGAAGGTCACCGCCCTCGCTTGCCAACACAATCTAAGCGTGCAGCTAGCCCAGCGACGTGGCCGCGGAAGCCCCCAAAACACTATGCATAAAGCAAAACAGGCTATTTTCTGACTCCTTTTTTCATATTAATAAGCAATTTTCAAGAGAAGGGTGGCAAAATGAGGGCCATGCCACTCCAAGTAATTCATTTATTTTGCAATTTAATCTTATGTTGAAAAAAATTGCCCTGCTGCAGGAGCGTAGCACGGTGATTTTTAAACGTCAGGCCGTTTCATAAGTAACCTTGTATGAAGTATTGTATGAGTAGCCCTTCACAGAAAATTGCAGCAAAAGTATTTCGGGACATTGAAGTAGAAATGAGAATCTTTTCTTATTTTTGGAACTTTCTCCTGTTATCTTTGAGGTAAATACTCAGATGATTTACTTCATATTTTACTTACAGAACTAGACACTAAGTTACATATGTATATTTTAAAAAGAATCAAGTACAATTTCAAAACATTATTTTAAGATGAATCGTTAGATTTGTTCTATTAAAAGATTTAGTTTTCCGCATTTGATAACATAACCTATCTGCCAGGTGCTTTTTACGTAGTGTATTTTAAAACCTTATTTTATGTTTAAATTTCTTAGACACACACACACAAATGATGAAAAAATTTCATTATTTTAATGAAATTCATTGCACCCAGAAAACCATGAACTTATTCACCTAATTTAATTGTTATTCTAATTATTTATGTAATTGGACAAAATGTCAATCTTTCAAGTGCAGGATAATATATGTAATCATGTTGATATTATTTGAATTGTTAACAGAATTAAACTTATAATAAATCAAGCATATGTATAAAAGACCATAGCACTTTTAAAATTAGCCTATTAGTTGTACAAAATAAATGATTAGAGATTTGTAAATACAAAATCAAAATGTAAAGAAAATCAGTAGATCAAATGTTTTCTTGGGATATTTATGTCCCAAAAAGTTAATCTTCAGCCAAAGAAATTAATACAGTAATTCAGTTTTGCATTTGGTATGTTTCTTCCACGGCTGAATTAGCTATAATATATAGATATTTGATTCTAAAAACTTAACCACTGGAAAATCACTTTAAGTGTTTTTTTAAAGATTGCATGAATGTGCAGGTAAGATAGATCACCCCACTGACTTTGATGGATGTGGGTGATGATTGCCCCTCAAAAACTTACTCGATTATCATTAGTGAAAGAATTAAAATGTAAGCAGATTTTCAGTAGCACAAATAACTGCAAACGGTTTCGATGCAGGGAGGCGCTGGACGAGTTTGCAGAGATGAAAGAAAGGGAAGAGAGGAAGGCCAGCCTCGAAAGGGAGGAGAAGAAAAGAGATTACCAAGCCCGGAAGATGCATTACCTCGTCAGCACAAAGCAGGTTGGTCTACCTGAACCCGACAGCCCCCAGAAGCCGCGCGGGCCCCCAGCCCGACAGAGACAAACTAGCGGGCTGAATGGGACATGACTTGCTGAAAAGATAGCGCAAAGGCGTGACTTCGAGTTCAATTCTGTGCTTCTGTGTAGGTGCACGCAGGCACCGTGACTTGTCTGTGACAGCGGCTTCATGCAGGCAGCCACTGCGACGCTGGCAGAAAGGTCCAGGTCAGCAGCGGGGTCTGCCTGCGATGACACAGCACAAAGGGCATAGCCCAGCTTTCCAAACCCATTCTGAGCAGCGTCTTGTTGTTGCGTTGTACTTCGATCAGGAACCAACAGGTTACTAAGCTGCAGTGGCTTTTAGGTGTTCTCTCTTAATTGAGCTAATGTGGAGATTAAAACCGTTCTCGGGTACTTTCCAAATTTCGGTGCAAGTTTTCAGGTGTAGCTTTGAACAGAAGTCCTTCTGCAGTTACATCCTCACACAGAAATGTGAATGTGGACCTTGGAATATTTAGAAATTTATTTTCCTCCATGTGGGAAAATTTCACTACCTCAGATCTTGACATGGTTGCTAAGAAAAAAATACATTGCATGCAGAATATGCCATTCACAAAGAAATATGGTTATAAAAAGCATGGATTTGAGGGTTGAGTTGTGTGTTGGTACTTGAGCTAGAGGTAGAAAACTGGCGATTTCTGGCGTTTTATTTTTTCTTCTAGACGTTCAAGTCCAGTCTCATAGTTCTAGCTAGAGTCACACATTTACATGTTTTCAGACGTGAGCCAGTCAAGTCCCAGAGGTGGACGGTGAGGTGCTTTGAGACCGGTGTCCTCCTTAGAGCCATCCAAGCCCAGAACCGTCTTAAGCCCTGGGCTGGCTGTGTGTGTGGGGAACAGCCCCCGTGGACTTCCGGCCTCCGGTTCCTGGTCTAAAAAATAACACTTTTCAATAATGCTGACTTTCTTATTATTTACTTGGATTCGTATAGCTGAGTTATCTTCATTTTACAGACAAGGAAACTGAAACTCAGAGATAATTATGAGACTGATTTATAAACACAAAACTAGAAGCAATAGATTTGGTCCTCAGACTGAGGTCTTTTGACTCTAGATACTTATGCAGTAATTTAAAGATAATTTAAAAATTTAAAATTTAAAAAGTCAAAATAGTTTGACTTTTTGTTTTACAATTCATAACAATGTAAAAATTTTAGCCGTATGATTGGTAGGCTACCTTTTTTAAAATATAGAATTACAAAGCATGAATTTTTTTTAGCCAAATGTTTATTTGATTAACTTTAATTACTAGTCATTTTAATTTTGATGAAACTAAGGGGACCATAAGTATAGACTTTAGTACTTTAAACCTGGTGATAATTCTTAGGTAGAGTTGTTTATTTTGATAACTCCGAACCCTCTTTATTCTTTGGATCATTCTTAGTCTGAGTTCTAATTGTGTTGTTGATACTTGTGATGGATAGTGTTATAGAGAAAGCAATTTTTAAAAGGATGAAATCCAATTTAACTGAAATACTAGTTAATTCTGTTTTATCCAGGGTTATCTAGCTATCAAGTAGGTAGTGGAATAATTTGGAAAGTCCAGAAAGAATTAGTTTTTTTTGCTAATAATAATAATATAGGAAAAAGGCATGAATGCTTACCTTGTGCCAGAGTATGGTAGATATTGGGTGTGCATTACTTTTTAAACTATTTCGATTTTCTTTCAACTTTAAGTGCCTGGTTTAACAATTCATGTCACAAACGACCACGTGACTCAACTCATGGATCTTCATGACTTTTCAAACAATGTTACCGTTACATTTTCGGTTATGCTTATGTTTACAAACACAAGCCGCCGTTTCTCTCGTCGCTCATGGCGTGCTGGCTGCTGGTGATGCCAGGGCGCATGGACTCTGGCGTAGCCATCACTCGTCCCCGGAACTCCGGGGCTGGTCTCGTGGTGCCCCACGCACTGGGAGGGCGCTGGCAGCAGGCGGGGCCGAGCGGGCACCGCGCTCTCCCACTCAGGGAACCGTCACGGGACGTCACCTTGAGTCTTCCGCGCCTCCTTGTCACTTCGCACCTTGTAGGATCGTTACACGGGTTAAACGGAGCGTATGGAAGAGGGTGCCGGGCTCTTCGGGAACATTCAGAGAACGGTACCGTGCGACTAGAGTTCAACCTGTGGAGGACGAACCGCGATCCTACACTTTTAGTTCCTTGTTTGAGCAGTTCGAAGCTTCCATTTCCTCATTTCCCTTTTTGCTTTCCTTTCGTTATTAACGAAAATTAGTTAGACATCTTTATAATGCTGTCCCCCAACTCCCGTTTTCCACCTGGTTTCACAGACCTAAGGGCACTAAAGGGGAAACAGTTCCCAAATCACCCCTCTTGGAGAAGTGCTATAAAAATATTAGGGATTTTTATGTGGATCTGGCAAGTTGGTACACTGGTTAAAGTGATGTTGATATTCGATCACAAGTTACTAAGGCAGGAGGACAATCCTTTGGACCACTTTTATTCCCAAGGCGGACTCGTGTGTGTGTGTATGTGTGTATGTGTGTATGTGTGCACATGTGCGCATGTGCATTCGTGTGTGTGCACATGTATATGTGTGTTCACACGTATGTGTTCATGCGTGTGTTTGTGTGTATTTGTGTGTTTGTGTGTGCGTGTTCATGTGTGTTTGCCTGTATTTGTGTGTGCCCGTGTTCACGTGTGTGCATGTGTGTGCATGTGTGTTTGCATGTTTGCGTGTATGTGTGTGTTCGTGTGTGCATGTATGTGTTTGTGTGTTTGCATGTGTGTTTGTGTGTTCACATGCGTGCATGTGTGTGCATGTGTGTGCGTGTTTTGTAATAGGATAGTGGTGTCACCCTAGTTTCATCTGTTTGCCGTGGTCAGGGGATTACTTGTACTGACAGGATGGTACTGACAACTTCAAATGTTTTCTTTCTTATATCCACCAAATTTGCTTTATTTAGCTTTAAATCAGGATTTTTTGTCGTATATTAAGAGGTTGAATTTTAAAACTGATATTGCAAGTGATAATTACAAACCATCTTTAAGCAAAAAAAATGCAATCTTTCATTTTCACCTAAACAAAAAGATGCAACGCTTAAGATTTCAGAGTGAATGTAAATCTCGACTCTAAAATGCTTTGGTTAATTACTCCAACTCACATATTCTTGAGTATCCACAGTGTACCTGATCCTGTACTAGGACTAGGACGTGTAAGTTTACATGACGGGATTCATAACCACGGGCAGCAACATTCAGTTTAGGTTCGGTCAATACCAACTTCTTTAGTAGAAGGAATTTGACAACTTTCCATGACAGTTTATATAGGTAATCATTGTAATGAACAACTCTTTATGTTTATGATTTCGCTGATTCCATTTACTATTTGGCTTATTTTAATTTTTAAAAATTCCTACTTTTTCAAACCCAAGGAAGACTCAGAGAATGAAAGATTCGTACTTGAGGCTGATTCTTATTACCGATTTTCTTGGCGTGACTTGCTATTAGGGAGATGTTAGGCTGCAGATCTGAAAATATTCCTGAGTTAGATGTTTGCAGATTAATTTTATTGTTTGTTTTAAGAGTTTTGATTTCAAATTATATTAAATATACATTTAAGTACAAAATAAAAGCCAACTTTGGATTATTTGTTTTGTAAGGTTCGTGTCAGTTTTCACTCTCAATTTGGGCAGATATTTGAAAATTTACTGAATAAACATTCAAGTGTAAATAACTTTTTATAAGAAATATATCAGGATAAGAAATGTCCTGTTGACGCGCTTAAAAGAATAATTCTAATAGCATTTTAGCAAGGAGAGAAACCCTGTTTTATTGGTGATTTCAATAATTTAGAAATGATTTTAATCTAGTTTGTAAAATACTAATTTTTATATTAAACTTTCACAGCTCTAATATAGCTTAACTTAGATGAATAGAAATAAAACATTAATTTAGACAACTAATGCTTCAGAGAAGGTGAATATTTTCGTAAGACAAAATTGTATTTGTAAATTCAGACTTAGATAATAAATGAAATCATGTGTTATTTAATGCATTAATAATTTTAGGACAATTATGCTGATATACAACATACTGATAGCATTGTTTTAAAGTCAGTTTTAAGCTTATTTTTAATACAAATCCAATGTATATCTTAAAATAATTCTAAAATCTATTACTACTTTTTACAGATATTAATAATCTCATCTTTATGCAAGCAAATATTTAGCACAAATAGAAATTACACAACTAAATAACTAATATTGCAATGAGTGAATTAATAGATGCCTCAGGGTTTTATTAATTAAAAAGTTCAAGTCATATTAAAGCACCTTTTGTATATGTTTATTTCAATCAGAAAGCCGAACATGGTAACTTATTTGCATAAATAATCAATCACCATTTACTAGTAGTAATAAGGTTAATTTGTTGCTACAGACATAATAGGATTAGTCGATTATATTTCCCAGAAAATACTATTTGTTATGCACCCCATCACCTGTAAGACAGGATTGAGTTTAGCGCCCTTATTAAATGAACACATCAAAAAATCTTTGTCCCCATAAAAGTTTTATGAAAAGAAAGCTAATTTTAGGTGATTTGAATAAGTAAAATGCAAACATGGCCTCCATTTGTAAATTTAATTTATCTTTCTGCAAAGATTGATTATTTAATAAAGTTATTTATTTTGATTCAGTAACCAGTCAAACTAAATCTAACACATATAGAACATATTTCCTTTGAAGAAAATCTCATTTGCAGATTTGTTTTATTCCAGATCAACTGACTTTCATTCCCTTGTCCTTGTTCTTGGGTAATAAATTATGTTGTCTGCTCCACCTACTGGTAGAAATATGCAAAGGCCTATTGTAGGATTCATTAAAAGATGCTGCCTCTAAAATGTTGCCAGGATGTTTAAAAATCCTCCTGGAGATCAGTAAAATTACGGATACAAATCTGAAGTTCAAGATCCAAATCT